GAAGACATCAACAATACAACCAAATAAATAGCAACTAACTCCTAAAAACAAGGCTACATGGCTAACATGCAGATAGACACGTCCTGCACTAAGTCCTAAAGAATAGCTAAAAATCAAACTGGTTCCTAGATAATAGGTGACAATAAAACAGCAATGGGATCAGGATTATCAAACCAACAATTCCCCCTTAATCCTGATCCGACAAAGTAGTCATTCCAAGCATACTCCTTAATTTGATAAAAGCTTCAAACTTCAAAGGTTTGGTGAGGATATCTGCTACTTGGTTTTCCGATTTGCAGTAAATCAGCTCAATTGCTTTCTTGCCAACTTGATCTCTCAAGAAATGAAATCGGACGTCGATGTGTTTGCTTCTTCCATGTGTGATAGGATTCTTTGCCAAGTCTATTGCAGAAACATTATCAACAAAAATCTTCATTGGTTCCTTCATTGGAGCATAAATCTGGTTCATTAAATTGAGCAACTAGATTGCCTGACATGCACTTGATGTTGCAGCAACATACTCTGCTTCACAGGTTGATAGAGCAACAACAGATTGCTTTTTAGATGACCAAGAGAAGCTGTTAGCACCAAAATTGAAACAATATCCAAAGGTGCCTTTTCGATCATCTAGATCTCCAGCCCAATCACTATCTGAGTAACCTATAATAGCACAATTGTCTGTTGAAGAATAAAACAAACCATAATTAAGAGTACCTTTCAAGTACCTCATGATTCTCTTGGCTACTTGCATATGAGATTGCTGCGGATTTTCCAAGAACCTGCTAATTAGGCCAACACCATAAGAGATGTCTGGTCTTGTGCATGTAAGATATCTCAAACTCCCAACAATTTGTTTGAAATAAGTTGAATCAACCGGTGCCCCTTCTCCATTTTTTGACAATCTTGTACCAACTTTCACAGGAGTTCTTACACAATTACAATTTTGCATATGGAATTTCTTCAAGAGCTCAGTAGCATACCTCTTTTGGTAGATAAAAATCCCATCTTTTCTTTGAACTACTTCGATGCCCAGAAAATATGACATGAGCCCAAGATCAATCATTTCTAACTCACCCATCATGGACTTCTTGAAATCTTCGATCATTGTGGGATTGTTGCCTGTGAATATTAGATCATCCACATATAGACACAACAGCAATATATCACCAGAATTATTAACCTTCACATATAAAGCATGTTCTGAGGGACACTTTTCGAAACCGACTTGGAGGAAGAAGGAATCGACACGCTTGTTCCATGCTCGTGGAGCTTGTTTGAGACCATACAATGCTTTCTTCAACCTGTACACCTTATCTTCACTTCCTTGTTTCATGAATCCAGGAGGTTGCTTGACATATACCTCTTCTTCAAGTGGGCCATTTAGAAAAGCTGACTTCACATCCATTTGATGGATTTCCATTGATTTTGTGCAGCCAGACCAACTATAAATCTGATGGTCTCCATTCGAGCAACAAGAGAAAAGACTTCTTGAAAATCATAGCCAAGCCTCTGCTCAAATCCCTTTGCCACCGATCTCACTTTATACCTTTCGACCTCGCCATTTGACTTCACCTTTGTCTTGAAAACCCACTTGACATCAATTGCTTTGTGAGCTTGTGGAATATCAGTGAGAACCCATGTATTGTTCCTTTCAATTGCCTTGATCTCCTCATTCATTGCATTTACCCATCTAGAATCTTGAATTGTCTCCTCAAATGTCACCGGTTCACTATCTGCAAAGAAAGCAAAGTGTACGAATTCTCCATCATCATCAACTTCATCATCAAGAGTTACCTCATAATCTTGCAAGCATACTGGTGGTCGGCGTTGTCGCTGTGGCCTTGTAGATTCTATTTGGGCTTGCGGTGAGGAGGTTTCTTGAGCAGAGCTCGAAGAGGCTTCTTCGTTTGTGGTGGGATTTTCAGTTACTTCTTCAAGAACAGAAATAACTCGATTTTGAGGACCTTTATGGGTATCAGCATCCCATTTCCAAGCTTCTTCTTCAGCAAATGTTACATCTCGACTAACAATCACCTTCTTTGTGTCAGGATTGAACAGCTTATACCCACCACGCTTGTAGCCAATAAAAACTGTCTTCTCTGCTCGATCATCTAGCTTTTTCCTTGTCTCTGCGGGAATATGAGCATAAGCAACAGACCCAAACACCTTCAGATGTTTCACACTTGGCTTGAAACCACTCCAAGCTTCTACAGGGGTGATATTTTGGACACTCCTTGTTGGAGATCTGTTCA